ATATATGAAAGGAGGAATACAGTTTTAGGATCTGAACAGTAGGGCATAAAGACCTCTAAAGTTGCAAATGGTCCATCTGCCATCTGGAGAAAGAAAAGAAAAATGGAAGTATGAAGAACATGGTTTTGGGAATGAAAGCAGCAAGATTCAAGAGGACAAGGAAACATGGCAGTGGTCTGTGGTTTGCTCAGAGATGAAGGAAGGTGGGGAGGAGGAGCAAGGGAGGACCCTCTATCAGTTCCCACCTGTGGGAGGCCAGGTCAGAGCAGGGGGCCTTCTGCTCAGCGTCAGCAGCGGGGCAGCAGAACTGGTGCAGCACAGTCTCATTCCTGCGGACAGAGCAGAGGAGGGAGATCAGAGCAGGTCCCAGCAGCACTGGGAGTTGAGCCCACCCTCCCGTACGAAGGCATCTCTGTTGTAGAACCCAGCTTCCCCTTCTCTGATGTTCTAGCCACATTGTGTAGCACTGAGGTGGCCAAACACTGCTTCAGTGAAAGGAGTGCAGCACAGACCCACCAAGTCCAGTTCTGATGTCACCTCCTAGATGAAGCCTCCCTGACTTGTCCGTCAGCTAACCCTTCCCATTGCTAAACTGCCCGTTGGCAGTAGATCCCACTGTGCAGATTTACCATGATTTCACTCTATTTTTAATTATTTGTTATGGGGTGCTGTTGAGTCAACTATCTTGTACCATCCTCATGAGTCTATTCTTACTATCACTGTGTAAATCCAATCTGTTGAATGTCTTTCTCTTTTTCACAGCATTTGTTCTCCAAAGACTGGATCCCCATGAGAAGTTGCTTAAAGTATATAAGAACTTTCACCATTCTTGCCTTTAAGGGCCACCTTGGCTACACTTCTTCCATGGCAGATTTGTCTGTTCTTTTTGGCAGGACATGGAATATTAAAAATTTCCTTTTGATCATAGTTCTTTATAACCCTGCCTCCCACCAAAGTCTTGCAAGACAGAACTAGGTCTATTCACATATGATACACAAAATCAACATGCAGTTAGCATGCTCAGCTTCTAACAGAAAGATCTGAGGATGCCCAGAAGCACCTTGGACAAAAGGCTGGGAAATTTATGTCTGAAAATTCAGCCACTGAAAACTGGATGGATTTCAGTTCTACTGACACACAGGTTTTGCTGTGAGTTGCAGCCAACAGGGCTGCAATGGGTTTTTTTTTCCCTTTTTTAAAAAAATTATACAAGTTTATTTACAAAAGTCTAATACATTGTTTCTCACACCAGTCCTTCCCATTTCCCTAATCACCACCCACATCAAACCATGCGACTCTATGATTAATGCTCCCCAACCCCCGATCATATGCAATGATAGGAAGCATTCATAAGATACTTTAGCGTTCCAAGCTGGAAATCCAAGATGTGACACTGCTCACTTTTGATGATAAGAAGTTGGTTTGATGCAGATGAAAAAACCAGTCAGGGAGGGAAGAGACCTGGGTTCCCATCTCTACTGCTACCCAAATATGTGATCCATATTCTACCTTTCTGGGGCTCATCTATGTACTAATGAAATAAAGGAGTTGAGTTAGAGCTGTGGTTCTCAACCATGGCTGCATATTAGAATCATCAGGGAGATTTTGGATTCTGATTCACTTGGTCCAGTGTGGAGTCCAGGGTACCAGTTCATGAGGATCCGACATGATTCTAAAGGCAGCCAGGATTGAGTCAATGGGCTTGCTGATATCTAGGGTCTCTTCCAGCTCTAAAGGGCTGTAATTAAATTCTTTTCTTTATTTCTCTTTAAGAGTCTCTATTAATTACAGACATTCTTTTAAATTAATAAAGATTCAATTTAAAAATTGCACTTTGAGCCAACTTGGGACTTAATACTGAAATTACATTTGGATCAAGTTATGCTGACCTGTTGCCTTCTCTCCTGTACCTGGAAGTCACTGTACGGGGCATTCTGGAGTCAGGAAGGGTAGACTTAGAAGGGCCCCAGAGATCACCTGAAAAGGATTTCCAAACTTCCTTTAGCTTTAGAACACTTTGCCTAAATAAAATATTTACTGGAAGCCTATTTTGGAAAATGCCAAAAGAAGGCTAGCTCAGGAGTTAAGATGACTGATCTCTGAGCCCCCACCCCGGTTTTGTTGCCACTGTCCAGGCGCCATGAACAAAGACTGGAAATTGCTGTGTTTGGCTGCCCTTGTAGAAGAAAGCAACATTGGAATCTGCTTTAATTGGAAAAAAATAGATTATACCTGTAAATAGGGAAAACACACACACACACACACACACACACATAAAATTTAAGAAGATAATTTGGGAATATAATATATGCCATGGGGAGATGTTGAAAGCAAAACAAGAACATGAAAAGCCATTAAGGAACAAGTAACCAAATCTGACCCTTTAAAAAAAAATCTGTCATCTAAGATACAACTGTCGACCTCTTTTCAGCAGGAGCAGAGTAAAGAAAATCAAAGATGAAAAGAAACACTTAGTCCAAAGTATTAACGAACTATGTGAACTTCAGCCTCAACTACCCTTGATACCAGAAGCAGATGGTGCCCACTATCAACCACTCTGATGGGGATTGCAATGGAAGGACCTGGGCAGAGTGGAAGAAGGATGGAGGGCAAAACTCAAAATCATAAAACGACAAGCTTTATTGATTTAATAGAGTCTGATGGAACCCCTAAGACTGTGAACCTTAGAAACTCTTCAAAATTGAATTTGAACCCACTCTTGAGATCTACCTTTCAGCCACATGATAGTCCTAAAAAGCAAAGGGCAAGTGTATCAGAAGTGGTGAGGGAGGCACAGGATGCAGATCTGTTGTTCATAGCATCACTATGACCCCTACTTGACTCAATGGGACCTAACAACAACAAAACCCATAAGAAGCATGCTTCACAGACCATTCAACCTTATGAGACCAAAAGGGCAACATTTGCTCAATATCAAAGTTCAGAAAGCAGGAAAGAACCAAAGTGGGCATGGAGAATCTACAGAGGAAACAGGAAAGGTGCTGTTACATTGAGGGAATTACAACTAATGTTGAGAAGCAAAATGTTTATCAATTATTGAGAGCGAAATGAATTTGCTCTGTGAGCTTGCACGCAAACCATAATTTTTAAAAAGTAAAAATAGATGAAGGGATAAACGAAATGTGACACTAAAAAATAATCACATTTTTTTTCAAATATAAAAAGAAAAGAATGTATGCAATTAATAAAAACTTTTAAAGGGAAATCGTAAGTTCCATCAGCATTTATCTTGTTTCTTTTTCTGTCCCCTACCGCCTGGGCCTTCTCAATCTGAGGCCAAAGGCTCCCCACACCATCCTTGCTTTCACCAGGGATTTACAGTTCATTCTGAATTGTAAGTCTTATTTTGCCTGATTCTGATCAGACTGGCCACCTCTCCAACTTAAGGTCACAGTCCGAGACCCTTGACCTGAGAGAGCTTAAAATTGGATGAATGCTGCTTCCAACCTAGACTTCCTTTCCTTACTCCCCAAAGGAGAACCCCCCAAAAAGGAGATTGTAGAAGTTCATTCTCATTAAAAATATAATTGGAGTTGCAGTGAGAAGGGCACTTCACCTCTGTGGCATCTTCCAAAACCAGTAACCCCAGCCTAACCACACAAAAAACACCTGACAAGCCCCCAATGAGGACATTGTACAGAATTCCTGACCAGTCTCCCACAAAGTTGTCAAGATCATAAAAGAAAAAACAAAACAGAAACTATTATAGAAAAGAAGAGGTTGAACAAACATGAGAATTAGTGGTCATATGGCATCTCAGGTGTGATTTGGAAGCTGAAAGAGGATGCTTAATTATTTAATGTTGATGGTGTAGTTCCTATATGCACTGTTAACCCTAAAGCCATGCTTCTCTGGCAGTTTGAATCACAGCTGCTCTTCGGGAGAAAGGTGGGCAATCTTATTCTCTATATTTATAGCCTTAGAAACTCAATACAAGGTCAGCTAGTGAATCAGTTCCAACTTGACAGCAAGGAAAGTTTTTGCATTTTTATAATACAAGTGTTGTTGTTATTGTTATATGCTATGGAGTCAACAATGACTCCTAGCAACCCTATGCGCAATAGCTCTGAACTCTGCTCTATCCTGAGCCAATCTCCCAGTCTCTGACAAACCTACCCTCATGACCTTAGTTATTGTGTCAGACTATTTCATCCAGGGTCTTCCTGTCCCTTGACTCTTCCAAGCACGATATCTTTACTCAAAGACTGGTGCCTCCTGGCTACATACCCAAAATATGTGAAATGGAGTCTCAAAATCCTTTCCTCCAAGGAGCAGCTTGGTTTCACTCTCTCCAAGTCAGACCTGTTAGTTCTCTTGGTAGTCCATGGTATGTTCATTACTCTTCTCCAGCACCGCCATTCAAAGTAGATAGGTAAAAAGAGTGTGACTGGTGCGGGGGATGTAGCATCTGATCTCAACTAATTTCACAGAGGAAGACCTCCTTCAACAGCAGCAGAAGCAGCAGCACAAAGTGGATTCCAGTGAGGTGAGGCATGCCACCTAGGCTCCTTCTTCTACTAATTAAAACACCAATTGTCCTTCTCACTGCATTACTTCTCTTCTGTGTTCAATAATTTGCTGCAGTGGCCACAGAGAGCTTACAGATAACTGAGGAGTAAATTAGGGAAGTGTTGTTTTGTTCCATGTTCCCTCGGTGTAATGGCACTCTTCCTTCTTCCCCTTTGGTTCTCTGCTTCCTTTTATCCTTCTTTACTGTTCTTTCCTGACTTCTGGGTTTTCTGTAAATGTTTCACTTTGGAGGGATTTTTTGGCTGATTATTCTGAGGCATATGTTCCTCATGAGTGTTACTGTTCACTCTAAAGGCCTATCTTTTGTTTGGTGGTAGGTTATAGCCTCATCCTTGGGGCTGGGCTCAGTTCCAGAGCTGAGGAGTGCCTAAGGGCCACCGTCTCAGGGGCTCCACCAATTACCACCTCATCACTCACAGTTCATTTTTAAGTACATCTCTTCCCTCTTCCAATTTACTGTAAGAGCAAAGAGAAACCACACGATCCCTTTAAGATCCTTCTCAGAAATTCCTCAGCAGAATATTTAATTTAATCACTTACAAGTTCCACCTTACACCCAGCATTTGATGTATTCAGATACCTCTTTACCACTGCATAAAAAGCATCCTCCTTCCTCCTTTGCCCAAGTACATGTTGATTATTTTAAAGTTTCACTAGAAGCTCTTTTAACATCCACATTTCTAGTATTCTATTGCCATATGTATTCTCTAAAAATGATAAGCTCTATCATTCTCCTTATTTCTTTCTGAGCCTTTAACAGACTTGTCTTTGACTCCCT